AAAGCCTAGGCTGTCCTTAATTGTTGCTTGTTGGTGTTTTAGAGAAACCAACTTGATTCGGGGTAAAATTGTTCGAGAGAAAGTTTATCCCCACTAAAGTCTAGCTTAGTCACTGATTTACAACTAGTTATTATTAGTTGCAATCATCCATTTGTCCACCTTAGCCAATAATCCAATCACATCCCAAGAACCCGTCTCATTACTTGTTGATTCGTGTTATTTGCTATTGTGTAGTTGATAATTACAATTTAAAAAAACCGTGTTAATTGACATTTGTGTCACCCTTAACTTGAATTATATTTTTATTCGTAAATGTCTATTCATATGGTTGACTTGAACATACTCATGCTTTTCGATTGATTCTCAAACATGTACCACTCCCTGTGGAATTCAACCCCAACTCATTTAGTTATGTTATATTACTGACTAACGATCGTTGGCACTTAGAATTGGAAGAAGTGTCCCGATACGTGAAATCAGCCAACACTTGAAAAACATCCCTAATCTCCGCATCAGTCACTTCTTTGGCCAAAGGATCGACCGAAACTTGAGGACCTTGGGGAGGATCTTCTTGTTCCACATTCTCCCTCACATTTCTTCTAGCATAAGCTCTTCGAGTGGCCATATCTGTTAGAAAATCCGATAAAGATTAGGAGAGAGACCTCATAGAGTTAAACTCTATCACACGACTTTAGATTAATGAAAGAAGTGGAGCTTCCTAATCATCTTGTAGCCTCTCATTCATAAATGTGGCGCGTGATAAATGTTATCAAAGATACTTCATCCAATACTAAATATCAGCGATCGTTTAATAGTAATATAACCCAACCAAGTGTCGGGGTTGAATCCCAAAGGAGTAGTTATGATTATGTTTGGCAGATTTCAATCCAACTGCACGAATAAACACGAATTAAACAATTACTAGAGTGGAACTTGGGGAATTGACCAGCCAATTGTCGAATTTTACTTTAGAGAGTGAATGTCGATAGAAACAGTAGGTTATTTTGTTGTGGGTGACCAGGTCGGGCCATATATAAGATAACTTTCTCCCGAACAATTACCTTTCTATGACGAATTTTGTCGAACTTCATTACTGATTGTAAGTTTCCCAGCCTGTTGTCCTCATCAAATCCACTCTCTTGAGCTAGATACAAAGGAAAGATTTCGGATTTCACTCTCTCCAGTTGAAATCCAGGTAACCCACGACTAAGGATGCTAAGATTGCTACCTTGGTTTTGTGCTTCTCTCTCGAGCAAGCTCACAACGTGAAATCAATTACACTAAATATGCAAAAAAACTTCAAAATACAGTAAAAATTTAGACCCACTTCAAGTTAACCTCCCTATTTGCATTTCAACAATAAACACTTAGCAAAACTACAACAATTGGCTTCATAGTCAAAACCCCAATAGTTCCAGTAAGTCGCACTCCCAGATAAGAAAGATTGGCAAAGATGTAGAGGATCGCCAAACACCTCGAAGTTCCGCGCCGGTCGATCCTTGAGGAACATTGTCTGCTTTGATTAGAAAGGGCGAGAAAAAGCGGGTCGCCTAAACACATTGGCGATACGCCAACTGGTGGAGGTATCCCGCCGAATGTTCCAGAGTCTCAGTCTCAAAAGGCGAGCCACGTCGTGCTCGCCTAAATAGTTCGGTGACTCGCCAAGAAGACTTTTGTATCGCTCATGATCCCTACTCCTGCAAAATCAACACATATTATTTAAAACAGTAACACTTGGGTTACCTCCCAAGAAGCACATTACTTAACATCGTGGCACGACGTGGAAATTCTCTCAAGCATCTTCCAGGTACACCACCTTAATAAGAGAAATCTCCTAGCATTCTCCAAAGTATAATTTTAAGCGTTGCCCATCCACCTTAAATGTAGGTCCATCTTGACCCTCAACTTCTATGGCACCATTGGTGAATACTCTTGTCACTCTAAATGGTCCTGACCATTTGGACTTGAGCTTTCCTGTAAAGAGTCTAAGTCAGGAATTGTATAGTAACACCCGGTCTCCCACTTTAAACTCCCTCTTAAGAACTTTCGCATCATTCCATTTCTTCATCTTTTTCTTGTACAGGGCTGAACTTTCGTAGGCTCTGAATCTGAATTCTTCCAATTCGTTTAACTGCTCCGCTCTCCCCCTTGAGGTCTTTGAATAGTCCGGATTTAAAGCTTTCAATGCCCACAATGCTTTGTGTTCCAACTCGACGGGTAGATGGCAAGATTTACCAAAAACTAGTTGATACAGAGACATCCCAATAGAAGTTTTGTATGCGGTGCGATACGCCCATAGTGCGTCATCCAACTTTCGGGACCAATCAGTCCTATTTCCATTCACTGTCTTAGCCAAGATGCTTTTGATCTCCCAGTTTGACACTTCAACTTGGCTACTTGTTTGGGGATGATACGGTGTTGCTACTTTGTGTTTCACCCCATATTTTCTCAATGCAGATGAGAACCATTTATTACAAAAATGTGATCCCCCATCACTAATAATGGATCGCGGATTCCCAAACCTTGCAAAAAAAGTAGCGCTTCAAGAATTGAACAACACTTTTTCCTTCATTGTTTGGAAGAGCTACAGCCTCTACCCATTTGGAAACATAATCCACAGCCACCAAGATATATTTATTGCCAAATGAGCTCACACATGGACCCATAAAATCAATTCCCCATACATCAAATAGTTCCACTTCCAATATTGGCGTCAGAGGCAACTCATTCCTTTTGGACACTCCGCCTTGCTTTTGACATTGCCTGCACTTCTTGACAAACTCATGAGCATTTTTGTATATAGACGGCCAGTAGTACCCACTTTGCAGAACTTTAGTTGTTGTTCGTACACCACTGTGATGACCTCTAACCGGCGAGGTGTGACAAGCATGCAGGATCTCAACAACTAATTCTTCCGCAACACATCTTCTAATTATATGGTCGGCACACTCTCTAAATAAATATGGTTCATCCCAAAAGTATTTCTTAACATCGAACATGAACCTCTTTTGTTGGTAGAAGTTCAGTTCGTCTGGCACTACTCCACACACCAAGTAATTTGCAAAATCAGCATACCAAGGGGGTTGTGTTAGGGTTACCGCGAATACCTGTTCATCGGGAGAAATATCCTTTATGTCGATCTCCAGCTCGTCAATCTCCGTGCCTTCCAATATTGACAAGTGATCAGCCACCTGATTTTCACAACGTCCTCTATCTTTGACCTCGAAGTTGAATTATTGCAATAAAAGCACCCACCTTATCAATCTCGGTTGGGCATCTTTCTTTGCCATTAGATAACGCAATGCAATATGATCAGTGTGAATAATCACTTTTGTACCTAGCAAGTATGCACAGAACTTCTCAAACGCATAAACCACTGCAAGCAACTCTTGTTCAGTAACTGTTTAGTTACGTTGAGCACTGTTTAAAGTTTTTATTGCATAGTAAATGGGATGAAAAATTTTATTTCGTTTATGTCCCAACACTATTCCTAATGCCTACCGCTTGCATCACACATTACTTCAAATGGTTCTGACCAATCAGGACTTATGATGATAGGAGTGGAAATCAGTTTATCTTTCAGGCATTTGAAAGCAACCATACAAGCATCATCAAAGTGGAATTTCACCTCTTTTTCCAAATGTTTGCATAGAGGAAGTGCAATCTTTGGAAAGTTTTTGATGAACCTCCTATAAAATACGGCATGTCCCAAAAAACTCCGAATCCCCTTTACTAAAATAGGTGGCGGTAATTTCTCGATTACTTCATCTTTTGCTTTGTCCACCTCCAGCCCCTTTTGTGATACTTTGTGACCAAACACAATTCCTTCCTTAACCATGAAATGACACTTTTCCCAATTTAGGACTAAATTGGTCTCAACGCATCTTTGGAGAACTTGTCTTAAGTGTTCTAAGTATTCTACAAATGTATTCACCCACAACTAAGAAATCATCCATAAATACTTCCATTGAGTCTTCCACCATATCAGCAAAGATGGATAGCATGTAACATTGGAACATAGCCGGGGTATTGCATAATCCGAATGGCATTCGTTTGAAGGCGAAAGTACCATAAGGGCAGGTAAAGGTTTTTTTCTCTTGATCTTCCGGAGCAATGGAGATTTGGTTATAGCCAGAATGCCCATCCAAAAAGCAATACCACCCTCTCTCAGATAGTCTGTCAAGCATTTGATCCATAAAGGGCATGGGAAAATGATCATTTTCAGTCCATGAATTTAGCTTCCGATAGTCCATGCAAACTCTCCAACCTGTCACCGGTCGCATAGATACAAGCTCCCCCTTGTCATTAGGGACAACCGTGATTCCTCCCTTTTTTGGTTCACATTGTACCGGACTGACCCATTTGCTATTTGCAATAGGGTAGATCACTCTTGCGTCCAACCACTTTATTATTTCCTTTTTCACCACCTTTTGCATTGGCGGGTTTAGTCTTTGCTGATGTTCAACACTCGGTTTACAATCGCTATCAAGCTGAATTTTGTGAGTGCATATGCCAGGAGGGATGCCCACTATATCAGCAATAGTCCAACTGATGACTTTTATGTGTCATTTCTGTACTTCAAGCAGCAATATTACTTGCCAATCAAGTAAATCTGCTGCAATAATCACCGGCAAGGTGTTATTTGCACCTATGAAAGCATACCAGAGGTGAGAGGGCAATACCTTCAGCTCAAGATTTGGTGGTTCCTCGGTTGATGGCTTGGCGGGAGGGCTCTCTTGGTTTTTTAAGACGATTTCCAATTTCACTGGGGTCTTTGTAAATCCCCCCATGTTTGAAAACGCGGCTACCACTTCATATTGGCCTTGAACCTCAAACTCTTCATCGATTGCCAACACAACTTCAAGTGGTTCTTTGCTACACATCAAATGGCTCACAGTAGCCACTGCATCGTCAATCATATCATCAGTTGAGATTACATGAATGTCACTCGGGTGTTTCATTGATTTGCACACATCAAAAGTGACTTCATCTTCATTAACCTAAAATTTCAGCTCCCCGCTCTCAACATCCATCAACGCTTTCCTAGTTGCCAAGAATGGCCTCCCCAAGATAATAGGAATCTCGGCATCTATGTCACAGTCAAGTATGACAAAATCGGCCGGAAAAATAAATCGGTCAACCTTAACCAAAATGTCATAAAGTATTCCCATTGGGTGTTTGATCGATCTGTCAGCCATCAAGAGTCTCATAGTTGTAGCGTGTGGTTCACCCAACCCGAGTTGTTTATAAATATGATAAGGCATTAGATTAATACTTACTCCCAGATCGCATAAGACTTTTGCAAACTTGAGCATGCCTATAGTACACAGGATGGTCAATGCTCCAGGATCATCTTTCTTTTCGATCAGCTCCTTCTTCATAATTGTACTACAACTGTGAGAGACTTCGATCGTCTCAAAATCCAAGCTCCTTTTTTTTGTGACTAACTCCTTCATGAATTTGGTGTAACCCAACATTTCTAACAATGCTTCAACTAGAGGGAGATTAATCGATAAGGTCTTGAATACCGATAGAAACTTCTTGAACTTCTCGTCCTCATTCTTTTTCTTGAGGCGTTGAGGAAATGGAGGGGATATTTTAGGTAAAGGCTGCTTGGCTTTTAGGAATGGCTTGTGCTTTTCCTCCTCACTTTGTGGTTCCTTTGTAATGTCATGAGGAATGGTTATCTCTTCTTCCTCTATATTTTTCCCTTCATTCCGCGTGTGCTCTTCTTTGTTACCTGTCACACCACCTTTTACTTCTTTTCCGCTCTGAGTGACAATGGCCAGTCCTTTATCTTCATCGTCTGTCACCATATTTTATTTCAATTGTATTGAAGGTAAACTCAATTGACCTTCTAGGATTTTGATTGCATCTGCGTTCGAGTTTACTTTATTGTTCAAGGATGAGAAGTCGGCTTTCATCCCTTTCAATAAATCATCCGAGCCTTCAACTTTATCAAGAATGCGAGAAAGCAAATCATTCACGCGGGGACTACTTGTACCTCCCCTCTATTTTGGGCTCTCACTTAAGGGAGTGTGGTTCTATTCATATTCATCCTCTCTTCTCCAATACTCGTTTTGCTCAGAAAAATATTGGTGGCACCTCTTTTGCTCAACTTCCTTATGATGGTTCCAACCTTGATTTCCACCTCGCTGCAAATAGCGTGCGTAGAAACCCTCCTCACTTCTTCTGGAGTTCCAACCTTGATTCTCCCCAGGCTTTGAATAGCTTCAGGAAGAAACCTTCTCAACTCTGAACACTCCACGAGTTCCCTTCATGTGTTCCTGAAGAACTTCCATTTGGGTCAACATCTTCTTGATGTTTTCATCCATCTCTTTCTCATTATCTAGTTGCTCTTGTGTTAATCTAAAATTAAATGGAGAGACTTGATCCCCTTTGGTGTACCACGCTTGGTTTATTCTAGTCATTTCATCGAGAAGAAACTAGGCTACCTCAAATTATTGTAACATTATTCCTCCTCATACCAACTGATCAGCCACTCCTTTATTAACCGAATCAAGGCTCCGGTAGAAATATTGAATTAACAAATTGGTTAGCAGCCCAAGAGTTGGGCATTTAAGCAGGAGCTTCTTGAATCTCACCCATGTTTCATAGAGCGGTTCCCCCTCCCGTTTCTTGAAACTTTGAATTTCATCTCTATGTTTCATCATCCTTGATAGAGGGAAGAATATTGTGTTATATGTTATAACCAGCTCTTCCCATGATGTGATGGAATTGTTTGGTAACTCGGTTAAACACTTATTAGCTTCTCCCATTAAAGACAAAGGGAATAACCACAGCCGAATTGACTCTTGCAACACACCTTTGAATGAAAAAGGGATGTAAACCTCTGTAAAGTTTCTCACATGCTCGTGCGGGTCTTCGTGATCGAGACCTCCATATAATCTCCTCATTTGGAGAAGGTGCAGAGGTTTGTTAGTGACTTCAAATATCGCATTCACATCAGTTGGTGCGATGCAGATTGCACCCACTCCACCCGATTGATTCGGGTTGTACACACTATTGATGTCGTCTATACCGTCACGATGACCTGCTTGACAATCATTTATCTCTTCCTCACTCAAGTCCACTTCTATGTGGTCCAGCCAACACTTACACAACGCAGCCAAAACCAATTATAACTATAGCCAACAAATTTTACAGTGACAAACCTTCAATCAAAGAATCTTAAGCAATGCTACTCCCCGGCAGCGGCGCCATTTTGATAAACGCTATCAAAGATACTTCATCCAATACTAAGTATCAGCGATCGTTTAATAGTAATATCACCCAACCAAGGGTTGGTGTCGAATCCCAAGGGAGTAGTTTTTTCTTTAAATTTGAAAATGAAACTTTGACACAATCTCTTCAATATTATGATTATGTTTGGCAGATTTCAATCCAACTTCACGAATAAACGCGAATTAAACAATTACTAGAGTGGAACTTGGGGAATTGACCAAACAATTGTCGAATTTTACTTTAGAGGGTGAATGTTGAAACAAACAGTAGGTGATTTTGTTGTGGGTAGGTCGGGCCATATATAAGATGACTTTCTCTCGAACAATTACCTTTTCTATGACGAATTCACTAGAACTCCATCACTGATCGTAAGATGCCCAGCCCGTTGTCCTTATCAAATCCACTCTCTCGAACTAGATACAAAGGATATATTTCGGATTTCACTCTCTCGAGCTGAAATCCGGGTAACCCACAACTAAGGATGATAAGATTGCTACCTTGGTTCTGTGCTTCTCTCTCGAGCAAGCTCACAACGCAAAATCAATTACACTAAATATGCAAAACAACTTCAAAACGCAGTAACAATTTAGACCCACTTCAAATTAACCTCCCTATTTGCATTTCAACAATACCCACTTAGCAAAACTTCAACAATTGGCTTCATAGTCAAAACACCAAAAGAAGGGTTTTAGCCACTCATATCAAAAGTAGAAAAATTAACATCCATTCTTCTTCCCATAAGTGAATACAGAAAAATGAGAATTTTTATGAAGAAATCAGCTAAAAATCTTCTTGATTACAAGATCTCTAAGAATATTTTGATAAAAATCCCTCTCCAGAGCCTTTTGTGGTATCCTCTTTCTAATTTGTTTTTGTTCGCTCCTTTTTGAATACCCTCTCTCCTTTCCAAAAATCAATTTAAATAAGTCTAAAGTGTGACTGCTACTGGCCATTCGGCGAGGTTAGTCAGATGTCAGCATAGGTCGGCGACGCACCGATCGTTCTTTATCTCGCCTTCAGTGTTCACTCTTTCTTGGTTCGGCTACTGTAACTTTAGGCGATCCAAATTGGGATTGCCGAACACTTCTGCGAATAGCCTTCTGTCTATTATTTCGCTCATCAGCGTGTGTTCAGATCTTCTTCAGCAATCTTTGGTGATCTGATTATCCTTCGCCGAATAGATCAGCGACACGCCAACTGGCTCTGCTGCTCGCTGAAATTACCCTGAGTTTAGCTCCAACATTCTGTAACTTTAGGCGGTATCATGGTTGTTCGGCGATCCACCGCATGCTCTTTCTTATCGCCAACTTGATCATCTCTTCCAGGGCTTAGCTTAATAGAATGTTAGGCGAGACCGTGGCCATTCGGTGACCCTCCCAATGGTTTAGGCGATCTTCAGGCCTTCTCCTTTTCGTTCTTTCAGCTGCCTTATTCCCTTTTTGCTCCATAGTGTCCATGTTTTGTCCCTAAGTTTAAATGTCTGAAATTCAAGTATTTACATCAGTTATCGAGACAAAATGTGCATTTGAGGACACTAATTCTATTAAAAATGAAGCCCTAGAGTAGTCCAAATTGTGGACTCATCAGCGCACTTCACACTTGTGAACAAGACTCTACTAGACGTGGCTTATGAGACATCTTAGGACCATTCTAAAACCTTGTGCTCTGATTACCAAGTTTGTCACGACCCAAGGGTACCCCTAGATGTAACATGGCATATAGGACCCCAAAGGACCACATACAAGCCACTTAGCTTTCATTTAATAAGAAATAACACAATAAGAGTAAAATAATAGTCAAAGTCCAATAGTTTTTATAAAGAAAAGCGGAAGTCTAAAACACTTGTCTCAATATAGCCATCTAGTACAATAAAATGAAATTGGACCTAGCCCAAACATCGTTTCTAAAAGAGAAATACATGAAAGAAATTAAAAAAATGAACATCCTTCCTTGAAGCATGAGGACTCACAAAAACTCAAAAATCATGAAATCAACCACTAGCCACAAAACTAAGAAACCTCAGACCCTACAATTGGGGAAATGTATGCAAGAGTATGCGTTAGTACAAAACAATGTATCATGTATGATGGCTATGCATAAAACATTTAAATTATGCTAAGAAGGGACATTTCAATTCATGACATGCAATTGACCAAGCTAAACATGATATAAGAGAGTTAGAAAACATAAAACTATGGTCAATGCAAGCGAATCATATTTAGATCCTTTGAACACATATGAGATACTTATTGAAGTAACCTTAGTTCATTATTCATGTGGGGAATTAGCCTTAACCGACATAGAGACCATGTGAGATATAACATGATCCCCCGGTGTCTTCTACACCGAAAAGGGTTGTCCCACTTGCCAAGGTAATGACCACAAATCTGAGCTAAAGTGGATCCACTAGCTAATGTCTATATAGAAAATCATCCTATGGGGGCAAATAGCTAAGGGATAAAGTTATTGCTACTAAAGACCGGCCTCTACTAACGAAAGAGCTTCCATCTCAGTATCCTCTCACTGCTAAGCATAGATCCCACATAATAGTCATTTCTTCTTGTTCTTATTATCTATGGAAAGGCACATCATCTTCCCAATCTAAGTTAAGTCATCATCTATGGAAAGGTTTCTTTCATAACCAATCCAAGCTAGGTTCATTAGGATGGCTCTTAATCTTTGATTTAATTAGGTGAGAATACCTTTCAACCTTAGAATCCCTTAGTATGTGAGAAAACCTTTCACACCTTTATTTTTTGTGTTTGTGAGAATATACTTTCAACAACACAACAACAAGATCATCATTGATACTTTACTCTCAAAGCATCCTTAAAACATTTGCATAGATTTCATAAGAAAATGCATAAATCCATAATTTACCTTTCAATGTTCAAAACCCACTTTCAATCATCAACACTTAGAAAACAAGGGTTAGATATGGATTTCATCATAAATTCACGTAAAGCTAGTAATACATGCTTAATTTCATAAAACTCTTCCTTTACAATCAATATCCCACATCATAAGATTCATAACTTGAAAACATGGGGATTACATGGGTTCATGGGGGAAATCATCATAAAAACATAGTATTTCATCAATTCATGCATAAGAGATCATATTTCATTCATTTAAATCTTTAATGTAGAGAACCATGACAATTGAAGAAAATCCAACTCAATTGGGGAATTCTAACTTTGGAAATAGAGGAATTTGGGAACTCCATGAATGGAAGGAATCCATGGATGAAAACTATCATACCTCAAAGACAAATGCTTATCTTCAATGGAGGAATTGAGACTTGAATTGAAACCCTAGGATGTCCTTCTTATTCTTCAAGTTCTAGAGAGAGAAATATTTTTGGAGAAGAGATTTGATCTTCTTTTAGATTTTTCAGAGAATGGATCTTAAATTGGGGAAATTTGGGGAAGACTCTTATATATGTCTTTAGATAAAGGGTAAAATGATGTATTATAGAATTTAAAATAATCTGAAAAGACTTTTAAGACCTTAACATAAATCAAAGAACAAACCACGTTGTATCTCGCCAAAGGCCACTCGGCAACTCGCC